ATATATATATATATATATATATATATATATATATAACCATTAATACATAAAAACAATAATAATTATTTTGTATGTATTAGTGCTATGAGACTGATGGTATCATTGATCGACTGCTGAGATGATACTAGTCATGTTTTTATTATCTTTATTGTTTTCGTTATAAGTATATCACTGCTTACTAGTTGACTTCGATCACTGATCATAAAATGTAATTTTAATTTTAGGTATTTATATATTTACCTATGAAATTGCCGTTTTTTATAAAATTTAATTTTCTATGGCAACACTTTCCCATTTTTCACTAATTAATACGTGGTATATATATATATATATATATATATATATATTTGTTTATCGGATAATATATAGTACCCGGTTGACCGAGCTTTGCTCGGTATTTTTCGCTTGGTTTTTTTAATTCGTGTGTTTTGGAAATTATATTTAGATACAAATTACATACTGATGAAATACGAATAATATTTTTTGATCTTAGCGACATAATAGAAAAAACTGAACTGGTTATTTGAATAAAAAATCATGAGTGCAATTATTTTAATTTAAATTTTCGTGTTTTTAAAAAAATGCTAAAAAAAGGACTCAAAAAAATAGATTTTCTCAAAAAAGAAAGGAACTTGAAAAACAAATTAAAAATAGTCGGTCGGTCGGTCTGGGCTCGATTTTGTGACCGCCCAATATACCAATTAAGCTATTTGTAATCATTAATAAACTGTCAAAATTTACCTTCTTATTCTAACGATATTGTAGCAGTTTTTCATTGCCTAAAAACACGGAAAAAAAAGACATTTTCTAAAAATAAATCCTAGCTAGATCGATTTATTGCCCCCGAAACTCCCTGCACACAAAATTTTATGAAAATCGTTGGAGCCGTTTCCGATTCCGATTATAATATATATATATATATATATATATATATAAATATAGTATATATATATATATATATATATATATATATATATATATATATATATATATATATATATATATATATATATATATATATTCGAATAAAGAAGGAAGATTCATTGATGACAATAGCTCGATTAGTTGCGAATTTCCCGCGCCTATTTCAATCATACCTGCGACTGCACATTCATTTAATGATAAATAATTTTCACTACAATCATTGTTTACTATTACAAATTTTTGGTTACAAAATTGGCATTTCAACGTAAATTTTAGCACTAAGCCTTTTGTGTTTCTCCGATAAGTTGTGGTTCGGTGAAGCTGCAACCTAATGGACCATGATCTGAAATTTTTATGAAAAGAAGTGGCTGACGTCAATTATTATTCTTCTAATTATTTTTTCAATTTTTATTTTTAAGATATTTGTAACTGCAAAAAAGAAAACTACGTATAAGTAAGTAAATCAGTAATATAGTGTTATGTATGATTCAGAGTAAATAAAGGTTCCTAAAAATAGAGGTAGATAAAGAGGTATTTATACCTACCTACTTAGTACTTATTTATACCTAATTACAATACCTACCAAGGTATTGTGATTAGATTGTACTGGGTAAGCATTAGTACCTTAGCGGTCTACTTAGTGCTAATACGTACTTAGTATTAGTACCGTAAAATGCCCTAACTTTGCACGAATTTAGAGGTTTTTGTGATATTTCTTGACACACATAGAAAAAGTGACATATCACATATAAAGAAAAAATATAAATCAGAACTTTGTGCGCCTGGAAAAATAACACACTACAGTCTACACCTCAAATTTTCTGAGAAATAAGCTTATAAATATCCAGGCAAAGTGAATGGCATTTACGTTGCCTAGGCAAAAATATCGCAGTTTAAAATGCGTTTTAAATAAACAGATTTCGCTCCCATGAAGTATTGGTTTATTATTCCTACTTATCCATGACATAAAGTGTAAAACTTATTTTTTTTATTAAGAAGGTAAGCAATGATTTTGAACATTTAGTCATTTTATGGGAAATCTTTTAGGGTTGTAACCTTGTAATCAAAGGAATATAAAAAAACTTATTTGTTAAAAAGGGTCATTCCGTTTATCCACCCTAATGTAAAATAAGTTAAATATGTTCTTTATTATTATTAGTGTATTAAGTAGTATACATTTCGAATAGGTTATAATAGTTTCACAACTTTAGAATGATTTTAGACTTACAAATCAACATGATAAGGTAGGTAGGTACATAAATTAACAAATTATACTTAAAAACATTTGAAAATTACGTTTATAAGCTAAAATTATTAATCAATAAAAATAAATATTATCTTCATCCTGCATTAAAACGTATTCGTCAGGACTTATCATGACAAAACAGATATGTTGACTTTATTTAAAATGGTACGCCTGGTAAATCCCGAATTGCTTTTGATTAATTGCTATTGATACGATTATAATTTCTTAGATTTTATGAGATCAACCACTAAGTTAGCATTTTGGTAGAATAATTCACGTACTGCCGACAATTTTTTCATTTATTTTTGTTTTGACAACTGGTATTTTTCTTGTTTCGAGGCACCTTCTACCTTCTAACAATTATAAGGTACGTTTAAGACTATTTAGTACGAAGTTCTAAAATGTATGTATCTATCTTAAAAATAGATGGTAATCAAACGCAAATCTATTTTCAAATAAAAATGCAATAAACTTATTAATTTTATAGGTAGTAACATATTTAACAATTATACATATTTTACAAAACATAGAGAGAAGTATAAGTGACTATTTTTTATTTAATATGGTTCATCAAATCCGTAGAAATAGTTTAAAATATTCACACAATAAAAATTTTAAGTGCAGGTAAAATATCTGCCACCACCATTTGCACAATTCTGACGTTCACAAACGTTTCACAACTTTTTGCCAGAACCAAAAGTAAGCGCTGGCATGCGATAAAAATACCATAAATAAAATAATAATCTAGCTCGAGAGGAGAGGAGCCGTGGTAGCTCAGATGGTTAGCGCTGGCTGAAAATTTCAGAGTGCGCGAGCAAATCGGGTTCGATCCCCGCCGGAACCAATGAAATTGTAATTGCAATTTCAAGTGTTGATTTACCACGTGCTCAGCGGTGAAGGAAAACATCGTGAGGAAACCTGTATGTCTGAGAAATAGGAAAAAAATATTTCGAAGACATGTGAAGTTCGCCAACACGCATGGGACAGCGCGGTGGATAATTCCTTGCCCTAGTACTCTCTCAGAAATGAGCGGAGGCCTGTGCCCAGGAGTGGGACGTATATAGGCTGTAACTTTAACTTTAACTCTACCTCGAATAGCCTACTAATGAAATTCAAATGATCGGTTTAGGCAAAGTAAGGCTAGGTAAGTAAAATTAGGTCATTTTACGGTACTTACTTAGATATCTTTTACCTAATCACAAGTACAAGTGTATACCTAATCACAAATCCTACTAAAGTATTTTGATTAGGTAAGTACACATTTGTGGACCATAATATCTACAAACCAAAAAATTAAATAAACAAACCATTACATCTTCAACCATTTCAGTCGAACCACGACATGTATACTGTAATTCTATGGTTTCTTTACTCAAGTCTTTTACTGCTGTATCGTCATTGTTCGTATTTAGCCTGCAATAAAGAATAAATTATATTAGATCTTGCATGAAAACAAGACGGAATTACTTGTAATACATCATTTGGATACATATATATTATTTATAATATGGTAACCACAAAAAATATCACATCAAAGTTCATAAATTCTGTTTATAATTTCATAACTCTATGGACTCAAAAGTGCGCCCGACTTACCCATTATCATTTTCAATTATTGGTAAACTTGAATAATTATTTTTGTCGTCAAATTCGCATTCAGGTATTTTTCTTCTCCTCGTAAAATAAAAAGATACTATGTAATAAAACGTAGGAATTTAACGGAATAAAAGTAAGTGAACTTTGCATAATATGAAGCGACAGTAGCCTAATGGAAGGGCGCGGACCGCGAACTCAAAAAGGTCGTGGGTTCGAATCCGCTATTCGACTATTGGCGTGAACCACTCGTAACACAAGCAGTTTAAGCTTACCACGAGTGGTTAAGGGGAATATTAGTAATGTTTATAGCATCGTTAATATTCTTTAAAACAAATACATCAAATTATTTACAGAATTTCATTCATCTTTAGAGCATTTGACGTCGTTGACGTTTATTCTTCTTGAATTTAGGTATTTGCTCTAATCAATCCACAAAATTATATTTTCACAATAACACAATCGTAGCGTGTTTTTGTGGTAAAAAACACGTAAGCGCATCGGTTGGAACGTCGATGACGACGACGAGCGACACAGCTACCTCGTACGAACGCATATTACCTAATGCCGCCCGCACTCTGCGTACGCCCCTTTATCATAGAATTCACACAATTTTTTACATTCACAAATTTCAATTAAAAAAGAAAAACTGACCTAAAAAATTAAATAAAACGTGTATAAATATAGATTTTTAAATTATCTATCCATTAGTGTAATCCTCAAATGATTAGAGCGACAGATGCATGTAATCAAGAATTTTAGTTATTTTTTAAAAGTTGATTTTAAATGTATTTATAGCACATAAAAACAAATTAAAACGTGGAATGTGATGATAAGATATCGAACATTAATAATGTGCTTTTAGATGTAGTTTATTTTTCATAACTAATGAGATAATAGAGTCTGAAAAACGCACTTTCGCAAGATTTTGGTCAGGGATACACCTTAATAAAGAAGTGGTATCCATGAACACGAGATCCCCAGATCGGATAGTAATTAGCGAAATACCAAAAAGTAAACGCTTTAGCAAAAGTTGTTACTGGATGGGTAAAACGGTATATAATAAAATACCACATACAAGTAAAGACCTTCCCATACAAACACTTAAAATTACAACCAAAAAAAATACACTAGTGGCTTCTTCAAAATATATTTTAGTCGATTAATGACTTTTTAAATTACTGATGACCACTTTTTGGGACTATAGCTCATAATTGGCATTTTATAATTAACTGAAATGGTATATATTATTGTTTAATTAAATTTTCTATATTTGTTTGTTATTATAATTATTAATTTATGCTTTTGACATCTTTATATAATTGGAAGGATTTCTGTTGTTTGCTGATTTAATAATTTTTAAGATGAATTTCGATATGCAAATTATTTGTAAAGCTGAAATTTCTAAGAATAAACAAATTTGCATGTGTCCAGTAGGGACTTAGTATGTAATATATAGTATTTGATAATAGCTCATGTAACATACATACTAAAAAGTAAATAAATAAATAAATGGATAAATATAGATTACGAACGGAAGGAGTACCTTGGTAGCTCAGGGATGAAGTGTCTTCATAGTACGCGAAAAACGATAGTAGGTACGATTCTCGCCGAAACCTACAAAATTGTTGATAGTACTTGTTGGTGAAAAGAATACTATTATGAGAATACCTACAATTTTAAAATTTAAAAGTAAATAAATGAGTTCGTCAACAGGCTGTAAACATTGTAAGGAAACCATACAGATTCGAGGAATTAAATATTTCAAGGACATTGTGACGACCCAATATTATTATTAATAATTAAATTCAATATAAAGGGGCGTCAAAAATAGTCTTAAAAGATATATATTAAACAATAAAATTACATTAATAACCATAAAGTTAATATAAATACATTTCAGACATTAGACCAATAAGTGTAGAGTAAGAAATGTTAGTAAATTAAAGGCAAAATATTGTCTTCCATAATAAATAAATTTATTTAAAAGTTGAAAAAAATATTTAAAATAAAATAGAAATACAAGTCGAAAATATTATAAAAATAAAGATAAATAACATTTATAAGATAATTAGAAAATTTGTTGAAAATTGTCTAAGTCGTGGAAGTTCATGTATAAAAGAAAAGTTTCCTAAGTTATGGAAGGTGTTCATGTATAGATGTTTTGTATATAGATGTTTTGTATACATACCTGCAGTTGTACATATATATGGGGTGGTCGGGAGCCCGACTGCCTGAAGTACTGTAGCACAATGACTAGTCCTATATTAGGGACTTATGATAATAAACTCAATGATACAAAAATATTGTTTTTGTATCATTGAGTTCTAATCTATAGAATGTCTCTATGATGAATATGCATTACAATAGTAGGGTCGTGGGTTCAAACCCTATATATTAATGACTTATGAAAGTAAGGTCTATGATACAAAAGCAATACTATAGAAGGTCTCTATGATTAATATGCATTACAATAGTAGGGTCGTGGGTTCGAACCCTATATATTAATGACTTATGAAAGTAAGGTCTATGATACAAAAGCAATACTATAGAAGGTCTCTATGATTAATATGCATTACAATAGTAGGGTAGTGGGTTCGCATCCTATATATGAATGACTTATGAAAGTAAGGTCTATGATACAAAAGCAATACTATAGAAGGTCTCTATGATTAATATGCATTACAATAGTAGGGTAGTGGGTTCGCACCCTATATATGAATGACTTATGGAAGTAAGGTCTATGATACAAAAGCATTATTATTGAAGGTCTCCTTGATGCATAAGCATCGTATGGGGTGGTCGGGTGACCGACTGCTCCTAGTACTGTAGCAAAATGACTAGTCCTTATTAGGGACTTGAAAAGGAAAATTATGGTGGCGTGTATGCTGCTTGACGAGCAATTGGTCCGAGGTAAACTTGGACTCGCTAACCGATGTGTCCTAGACATATCATCTTAGTGCTGGTGGTAAGCGGGTTTGTTGTAGCGATACGGCTTTCCCGTGGACATCGCACACCCATACCGTTTGTGGGCGACGTCGTAGCGCATAGCGATGCGTCGTCTATAGTTCGGATTGGGATGAGTGTGTTTGGTAGCACTTTTAAGTGTAACAGGCATACTCAACTTCATGTCTTAGTGCATTAGCGCTATGATACGTGGAGTTTTGTTCATTGGCGTCTTAGTAGCGTGCTACTATGATACGTTGGTGATATTTTTTATATAACAACAATAAAAACTTTATTACCAAAATCGATAGGGATCATGTGGGTGTGTTGTGAGGGGGCGCCATCCGTATGATAGTTGCATTGATGCTTACTGCTATTTGCGGTATTGCGTCTTGTGATGGATCTGCGGGTGTGCTGCGCCTGATTCGACGCACTCTTATGGTTCTGGTCGATGGAGGTATGCGGGTGGTGTTGTCTGCTGGGATGTATGGGGGACCTTGGGATAGTGTAAGCCCGACGATAGTCGTATTGATGCTTGTTGCGTTCTGAAGCGTTGCGTCTTTGCGATGGTTATTTGGTGGGACGCTATTCTCAATGGCGCTCTCTGCGTCTTGGTTTGACTCACACCTGAGTAGCTTTGCCCAAGTCGGGTCCCTTCATTACGGGGCTGCAGACTGTCTGCCCTCCACGATGTTTTATATAACAACATAATATTATATCTCTGTAACTTTCCCACCTTTGATTGATTGAAGGCAACTTGTTGGTGGGTGAGACAAACATGATCGAAAATGCATTTACTCAACGTCAGTGACACAAACCCTTTCTGATGGCCAATTATTACTCTTATCTTATAACTGCCTTTTGACTCTATCTGCCGTTGTATTGGTTGGTGGAGCATATGTGTCGACCTCATGCGGGTGGTAGCTGGCGGGAGGATCTGTTGAGACTCTCAAGGCTGCGGCCGAAAGCCGCACAACGTGGGACCCCATTCCCTTGAGGTGAACGGTGGACTCATGACACGCTCTGCGGCTAGTAGCCGTGCTGATCATGCAATTGGTGGTGATGCCATACACTTACATCACGTCTGCAGGAGCGGCGGTCTGGCAGATGGTGGCGCTCACGGAGGGTTTACAGCCAGTGTGCCTATTTGCCTAAACCGTGTGACGTACATTCACTATGGCTGGACTCGTTCGTATTCTGTTTGGCGTTTACACGCATTGACATGCGCGACTTCGGTCGATGTTTGTGCTTACGCACTAACAAGGGGCCAAGCCTCTTTTACTGGTTCGCCAGTTATTTTGCTGTGGACTACGGTTCAGTTCCCGAATTAGCGTTCCCTACGGGGGGAGTGCATCAAAATGGTTGGCGCTCACCGTGCACGGCGTGTGTGGGGCCGTGTGCCTCCCCTACATTTTTTAATAAATGTAGGAGAGCGAAGCCCTTGTATCGGGTATTTTGTATAAATATATTTTGAGCCTTTTCCGAGCGGGAAGGGATAAATAATATTAAATTAATAATGTAAACCTGATACAAGTGGAATTGGGACGTTTTATGTCTTAACCTTTTTCGAGCCCTGTCTCCGTGAACGGGGTTCACTTAGCTTATAAGGCACTACTAACAGCTTTCAATTGCTCTAGCGAATATTCATTCTTCCAAAAGACACCTAAAAGAACTAAGTTACTAAACAAACACAACCTAAATAAGGGTCCTAACCAAGTCGATCACGCCAAAATATTACAAACGGCCTATTATTAAACCTTTAGAAAGATCATTTAGAAAGATCAAAACATATTTTGTTTATCGTAGTCACATATATATAATTTTTATTATAAAGGGGAATTAATTATATTTAATCTAATATATTTATTGCTTGAAAGAGGGAAGAAGCGTTACAGCATGTTTACCTGTTAATGTCCACTGCTGAACATAAGCCTCCCCCATAGGAGGGATATTTGCCATAGTTGCAACGCTTGGCATGCGAATTGGCAACCACAGTTTTTATTCGTTATTAGGAAGACGCTGTTGCTCATCTCCTGATCTGTTTCCCTCTGTCGCCTCTTACTGCATTCACGAGATTATATAGGGTAGTGGATATTCTTAGACTTTACTGTGTGGTTAAGTAATGTATATTACTTAACCACTAATAAGGATGACAATCGAGCACACAGTCCACCTGATGGTAAGTGAATGCTCTGGTCCATAGACATCTACACTTACCCTCGATTAAGAATCAAAACGCAGATGCGTTGTCACCCCTGAGGACTAAGATGGAATGCCTCGTTTCCAGTTAAAAAGGGGTCTCAGGATTTACACTCACCACACGGAACACAGCAGTATTAAGCTGCTTATTTGTATTTTTGTGTATTAAATGTATTTTATTACTTATTTTTAGTCCCTCTTCATCATTTTTGTCACAAAAATATACAATGTACCTGCAATCTATATTTTTATTATGTGTGAGAAGATAACTAGCCTTGTAAATGATTAGAATTTTTTTTTCTTTGATTTAGATCTTGCCTGGACAACGTGAGATGCCGTACAAATGGGCTGCGTACTTGCTGTTTCACATGCATTTTGCGCAAATTTTTCATACAGCTTCCATTTTTCTAACACTCTCACTAGCTATTTGGAGATATGTCGCCATAAAGTAAGTAAACTTTTCGTTAAATTTGTTTAAAAGTTGTCTTTATTTTTCGCTAGACTTAAGGGAAACGTTTCAATCAAACTGTGCCGTGTGTAATTTCTCATGTAATTATATTAAAATAGTTTTATGTTCAAGTTGACTATACAGGACAATTAAGATGCTGTACTCAAAGCAATTAAATCGCAAAGTTAATCGTCTTATTTCAGTTGGAAGATTGTTGTAATGTAATAAAAAAGACTTTACTTGGACTGAGAGCTTATTATTATTTTAATTTGTGATATTTTAAAGTATGTTATGTATTATTTATGTTTATATTCTTGCTGTCGGTGCCACGTGATATGTATTTGATATGGTTGAGAAGGACGAACCCTGCCCGATACGAAATACTGGTAAAATGGTGCTGCTCATGGTGGTTGGTCCTACCGGGCTTGCTATGCACTTACGAAATCCAAAAATTGTTATACCCTATTTTACCACAGAAGAGCTAGTAAGCTTCAGTTATGAATGGGTCTATAATTTCTAAAATTTGAGTAATGCACCTAATGGTATATTTTTGTATTTTTTTTTAATTTTAATTTTATTAATTACAAAAATATTGAAAAAAATCCAACTTTAAACATTTAAAAAATTAAAATGATTTACGTGCTGAGAAGTCGTGTGAAGAATAATTAAGGTCCCGTCGTCAGAATCTGTTGTGTGAAAATTGTTTGATTTTTTTAGTTGTTTGAAATAGCCTTTTGTTTTTATTAAAATCAAATTTTTACTCTTTAGTTGGGTTAGGAATATCACAAACTCATAGTAACAACTAGAATGTCGTCTTAATAGTTACATTAAAAACTTTATTCCCTATTAATCGTCCTTAAGGGACGGATTTTTTCTCCAAACTATGTAATATGTGTACTATATTGAAGCAAATGTCTTATAATTATATAAAACTGTATAAATACGTGTTATATTAAAGCAAATGTCTTATAATTAAAAATAAAATTGCTGATGATGTAGCGACCTGAAACCTTAAACCTCCTGTTTTAAAGTCGGTTGAAAAGAGGATACCCCAACCAAAAAAACGACATTTTAAAACAGAAACGGGCTAAAAATGAAGTTTGACAAATTAATCTTTATTTTTTATGTCGCTATCGATGTATACGCTTTTACAACAAAATCCCAGAAAATATACAAAATTTGTCATACACGAAGTTCAAAAATGTTATTAAACTAAGTTTGTATAAAAAGGGTTATTATAATATTAAGGAATTTATGGATGATAACCGCTGGGAAGGGTGATCGCTACCAAACTATTTCTAATTTGTCTTGTGTTGTTTATTGTAAACATTATTGTAAGCTATTATTGGGAAAAAAATAGTCCCGCTGGGTTTCTTGCTGGTTCTTCCCAGGACAGAGGTTTTTTTTGCGAACCAGTGGTAAATGAAAAAAGTGACTTTAATAAGTATTGTTATAATCATATGATTCTGTTTCTGTTTCTGTTTCTATGTCGAAAAAATAAAGTTTCATTTTATTTAGTAAAATAAACAACTTAGGTGTAAACTGCAAAAAAATGCATTTCGATAGTATTGTCCATAATTTTATTGTCTTTGTAAATAGTCGAGCAGTAATAATCGAGCAGCGTAAGAGAATTAACTAGACCACATCAACCCATGGGTGTTGTCATAAGCAACAGATGGAAATGAAAACAGGAAATGACTTACAGCATCTTCGTACAACAACTGAAAGTAGTAAAAACCTAGCGTGGCAACTACTGCTCGGTTAGATGATTGCAGCACGAGTGCAACATGCAGCATAAATCATTTTGATTGAGAAAGAACCCACGCTTTAATAGATGATTAGCGTAAATCAAAGCGTTATTTATTTAAGTTTGATTGACTAACGACTAAACCCACAGTAACAACTTAATGTCATTTGGAATGTTTGTTCGTAAATCGTTCTTAATTTTCTAAAAAATATTTGCGCCGAAGCTTTTTCTGAACATTAGTATCCTTTGCACGTTGATTATCTGTCATTGAGGAAAGAGTCTCACAAGATAAAAACTCCAACTTAACTTAACCATAGAGCTGAGTAAATGTTGCAATCATCAACAAGAGATATGCTGTAGGTATTTTTGGTAAGCAATAAACCTCGTTCATGATGCTTCTTGTCGAGGTACGAGTAAAGCTTTAGTTTTGAAATACGCTGAAACTGATACAAAATCATTTCTCAGTTATGACTGAGACCAAGGCAAGAACAAGAAAAAAAAGAGAGAAAATGCAGTAAGTCCTTACAATACTGTTTAATATTGTTTTTAACTGTTTAAAAATGTTTTTATTACTAATTATTTTAATAATTAATCATAATATTCAAAACGAACTGGCCTAGCAACAATGTTACAATTTAAAAAGTTGTTTTTCTTTTTTCTGTTTTTAATTTTGTGAGAAAATATGATCGATTTGTCGCCATTTTACATATTAGCATTCTTGAAATTGAAACGTTCAAATAAACATACGTATAATAGGCATTTATTCAAAAATCAATCGATCTAGATACAAAAATTCAAGACTCTTTTCCGATTCCACATCTCGTCGATAATCGAGGTTTTCAGCTTATTTTCACCGAGAATGAGATCGTGATCGGATGTTTAGCCGAGATCGGTCGAGACCAAAACTAAGACCAAGATTTCGATTTCCGTTTATTATTTGTCAAGTTTAAATCTTAACGATAGTAATTAATACGAAAGTTTCATATTGGTAGCATTTATATGATGTTTCCTACGCACAACTCGTATAAAGCTCAATACGACAACCAATTCGCAGAAATTTTTAAGTTAAAGATCAGCACACTGATTTGAACATCGTGCTATAATTTATAAAGGTTAATGAATGTTTAAAGTCAAAACATTTATTTAATTTGGAATTATCTTAAGCACTTAATAGATCGAATAAGAAAACTACATCGGCGATTAAATGTGGGAAATAAGCTTCTCTCAAATTGATATAATTAATCTGAATTGATATCAATCGTCCTTATTATAAAGCGATTTGGTAGTAATGAAATGTGATATATTTATTTATTCCACGTACTAAAATAATATTTCGTGAAAAAATGAGATTTCTACGATCGGAGAAGAAACAGAGAAAGAAATTGTACAGGTATTCTCTTATTAGTCATTTTATTAAAGATCCTCATCCCAAACCCATCGGTAAACTCAGCATGTTTTGTGTTCTATTTTATGTTAAAATGAAAGAGGTCGTTAAACTTTGGAGCTAATCAGTGCAAGACTTTATACAAATCAGATGTATGTAGCAGTTATTTCCCTCTTCAATCGTATTAAAGAAAAGTAGTCGCCCCGACCCACGATGCGGATGCATGTAGAGAACTCTAAGAGCTCATTACTTTACGCCCGAGTCCGCCACACACCGAACATAACAGTTGCGTATGGTACTGACTTTCATTTGGTCGTTAGTTTTTGATATTTTTCTGTAAGTTTGTTTTTGCATTCGTTATATTAACTAATTTCGCGTTTACTTAACGTTTCGATACAAACATTATAATCAAATATCGTGAAAAATTTCTTTAATTCACTGGATGATGAGTCTATTGATTTGTTTCTGTCATGTGGATCGGAGCATTTTTGTTGGATTACCGTCCGTAACAAATTTTTATTTGTCTGATTTAAGATCTCAGCGCTTGTCTTCGCATTATAATTGGTGCAATGAAATCTTCCCCGATTAATGCCCTTCAGGTAGAGTGTGTAGATCCTCCTCTCAACATAAGAAGACAATGTCTTTCAGATAGATTCTTCTTTAAAACATGTCAACTCTATTCTCATCCTTTGATTCCCAGGTTACAACTCTTCTCAGAATTCTTATCTTCAAGTAGGCACTGGCTCCATAAAGATTGTCCACATTTGTTTAATAGCTTTGTCACATTTCTCCAAATCTCTGGGCCCACTTCTCATGCAATACAAGTCCCCTTTTTAATATTTATTTCGAAGCTATTATATTTCGACTTAACATTCACCTTGATCTTAATATTAGAAAAGGTTCTCCTGAGGCAAAATTCAAAGAAGCTATAGAAAAAAACTGGAAAGATGATCATGAATACAGATGCATCCAAAATTACTGAGCATGGCTGTACTGGTGCAGTTGTCTGCGTTTAAAATAATCCTTAGCTTTAAGTGCCCTTCATTTTGTTCCATTTTACTGCTGAGGCAATTGCAATCCATGAAGCTCTGCTGTATGTTGAATCACATAACCTAGACAAAGCATTAATTTTTAGTGATTCTAAGAGTTGTTTATCTGCTATTTTATCATTATGTATAGGTGTTATTTTAAAGGGATTTTGGTCTGTTTAGCCTGGAAACCTAGTCATAGTAGTATCTTTGAAAATGAAAAAGCAGATTTGTGTGCCAAAGAGGCTACTAGAAGTGGCACCCCTCTAAATATTACCTATTCCCATGACTTACTTTCACTTGCTAGAAAAAAGCTTGTTAACACATGGAATGAAATATGGAAGGCATTACAAATTACAAAAAGGCAAGCACTATGCTGCTTTACAAGATAATATTACATCAAGACCTTGGTTTTTCGTATTTAATAAAGCAAACAAACATGCTACTATTATTGTCTGCCTGTTGAGAATTGGACATGCCTGCACCCATGTTCACTTAGCTAAACTTAGAATTAGGGATAGTTCTCTGTGTGAATGTAGCTTAGATGAGGGAAACACTAACCATATATTTTTTGACTGCACCAAAGTGTCATCATCTCTTTAAGATTGTCTGCCCCTGATATCACTCCTCCCATAGATTTTAACTCCCTTCTAACCTTCACAAATACCTCTTTTTTACATATTTTGTGTGATTTTATTAACTCTAACAACATTAAACTGTAATTTGTTTGTCATATATAATAACACATCAGTATTCTTCTGACAATATTGTCCGTTTAATCCAACAGACAAGTTGGCCAAAATTAATCACATAATATTGTTGTTCTCACTCTTGTAATATCAATTTCCCTTTTTTATGCAGGGTTTGTGTCCCAAATAAACGTTTTCGCTCGTAACATGTCATTGGTGAATTTAACTGCGAACGTAGCTGCGCTAAAGGGAAAAAGAAGAAGAATAAGAAGTAGCGCTTCCTCAAATGTCCTTTTTTGTAACCGCGGTTGACTATGACATCAGCGCCTCGAACACCTCAGTTATCCCGTGATCATGGGTGATGTAAAGTGCTCAAAACGTCGGGAATAAAAAATTTACGCGATAATATCCATAAAAACTAGTTTTATTTAAACTATATAGTACTAGCTGGTACCTGGCGCATTGCAGTCGCAGAAGAAATAATTGTGGAAGAGTTATATTGTTTAATTAAGAATGACAATACCTTCATTGAAGTGGAATGATATATAATTTTCAAATAAAGTATACATAAATACGACACTGCTTGTGTAAGTTAATTGTTCTATGCCTATAATCTTAGTACAAGGGTAAGCAATAAGTTGACAAAGTTTTACCGCAATCTGATTAAAGATATGGTATGGCAGCGTATAAAATACGAACAAACAAACATTAATTTTTATATATTAGATAATCTCTGATTTGATTTACTTGGAAGTGAAAAATTTTATTATTATAAAACCTCAGTCTGGTTTAATTTAAATATTTATAATTCTATAATTATACTAAATTTTGTTTTTTTCTTAGATATTCGGATAAAAACCACATTCTTTGCACGGAGAAACGCTGTAGCGCGGCCATACTAAGTAGCTTTGTTCTCCCACCAATACTTTGTGTTCCTACTTTTCTGGTGAGTAATAGAGTAAAAGCAATAAATAAAACTGTCTTAAACCCGTAACATTTAAAAGTTTTCTTAATCATATAATGTACTTAATAAATATGTCTAAAGCCAAAGCCCGATTAAAGCACGAAAACATTAAACAGATAATCCTGTTAAAGGTGATAAATTTCATTAACAAAAAGGTGTTATGAAATGGTCTGAAAATTTTATGTAAGCCTGTCTTGTGCTTAAAATATTTGTTGAATTCTAAAAAATATATTTCGAAAAGAAATTCAAATTCATTATCAATTGATATTATCAGCAGGTTTTAATATAAGTGGGATTATTTTTTTAGTATTGATATTCCATACCATTTACTAACAATAAATTAAAAAGTAAAGTAACAGACTTTATTAGTTCCACTGCTGGGTTCAGGCCTCCTTTCTTTTCCAAAACTAATTGCACTTCTGTGTTCTGATCTGAAGGGTATAGAAATCTAATCACAGATGACAATGTTGTTTTTTCCGTGGTAGAGCCATGCTGCAGCTATATTAATTGTATAATTGTAGCAAGAATGGGTCAGGTCGACCGGGGAAGGACCAGGCTCTCATAGAATACCAGCGTCAAATAGCAGCTTTCGTATGGTGAATGTAGAAAACCGGACCCTTTTTTCTGGAAAAAAGGCATTCCATCTTAGTCCTCAAGGCTGACAACGCATCTTCATTTTGATTCGCAAACGAGGATAGATGTAGATGTCTATGGGTCACAGCAACAATTTACCATCAGCTGGACTGTGTGCTCGCTTGTCACCTTTTCCTATAAAAAATAATGTATAGAGGCATGCATGCCTTATTTGCTTGAAATTAGCTAAATTAGCAGGTCCAGGTCCTTCGACAGAAATAACCATTTACCAATAGGTGGATTGTAAGTTGCACTTGCGCTGCAGTTTTATAAAAATAGACACCAGATTTTCTGCAGATTTTCTTACTATATTGTACGTCATTGCTTGGCAGGTGATAAGTCATTAATAAAACTTGTATTTTAGAAATATATTGATAACGGCGGTAATCTAACTCGGTTTTCATTATTTATATTAATCAATGATAATGTATATAGTGCGTTGGGGTAATACCGGACGATTTTCGACTAGTTAAAAGAGTCGGGCAAAAACTTTATTTTCTCGACATCCATATACGTCAGATTTCTGAAACATGGCGCAAATCGTTAATGGTTACACGTAATTTAGCTATAAGAAGTTTTTACGTTTTAAAACTCAACAGTTTCTGCTTAAAACGTGTGCGAAGACAAGGCATAATTTTTTATATGCATGATGAAGAATTGGCCATCAAGTGGTAAGACCGGACGTCGCTAAAAATCGCAAATAAAAGTGATAGAGAAAAACCGGACGGACGAAAAAAATACAAAAATTACCTTGTTTTATAAAATACTGCGCAGCACACGCCCTACTTTTCGGAGCGACTGGCTGAAACTTGGTCGGGGCAGAATGAAATGGAGTCTTGCACCATATTGCTAGCTTTCAAAAATATAGCATAAATCACCGGGAATTTGAATTTTACGGTCTTACCCCATCAGCGATCTTACCCCAATGCACTTTAATAATCTAATGTCATATCATTTCGCCGTGCAGTGGGGGCGTAAAATGATCTTTTATCCCATACCACTCCATGAGTGTCATTAGAGACGACAGAGGAAAATTGAAAGATCACAACTCAATAATAATTTAGAAAAAACACTGCGCTCGCTAACCCTGTCGAGCGTGTTAGCTACGGCAATTAATATCCCCTATGTAGCAATCTACGAGAGAGGCTTATGTTCAGCTGTGGACATTTAATGAATTGCACTCAATTATGATGAATAAATTAATATAACTTAGGGCTGATATTTCAACCGTCAGTTAAAAATTATAACCATTATAAACATCAAATAAATTATAGCCTGTATAAATATAAAAGTCAAACAATTGAACTATTTTTATTAATAAAACTGTCGTTTTACTTTGTTTAGGTTGTATTTTATTTTAAAATCTTTTATCTGACAATTAAAAAATCTTCACATAGTGATAATGTTATGAAGGATGTAACATCCTTCATAACATTATCATTCTAGTTCTCTAGTTATGCTCTTTCTCTTTTAACAGTATTAACGAATACTATTTTATTGCAACAGGTATTTGATATCCACACGGCCGTAGTTTTGGAACCAAGCGGACCTATGATTTTATATCACGTTGATTCGGACTACGAAGGTCAATTATATCAAATAAATTTTTGGGTACACGCAGTTGTCATTAAATTACTACCTTGTTGTATATTAACGGTAATTAGTTTGTGGTTGATACGAGAAGTATACAACGCAAATGAACATCAAAGGAAAATTCGAGGCTATATCTCATGTTCGACAAATAATAAGACGGGAAAACGTCAAAACAAAGCAGACAAAAGAGCGAATAGAACTACTAAAATGCTGGTAGCAGTATTGTTCTTGTTCTTGGCAACGGAGTTACCACAAGGAATCCTTGGACTTTTAAGCGGCCTACTGGGTCGATGCTTTTTCAAAGGATGCTACGATCTCTTTGGAGAGTTGATGGATGCATTGGCTCTGCTGAATGGAGCTATAAACTTCATACTATATTGCTCCATGTCAAGACAGTTCCGCATGACGTTCCGCCAATTAATGTGGCGAGCTCATATTCATAAATGGCCACCACCTCCAGTTTCACATTCAGATGGTTTAAATACGTAAGTGTGATAAGTAAACTTTTTATATTATTATATCTTAGTAAAATACGTTCGTAGGTTACGTTAGCAGATAACTAGGATGGTAGCACCATGATACTGTAATTAGTGACTAATATGTCGGCTTGCGTCTAATGACCACCCTTGCATAGAATGCTCCCGTAAAATTGCGGCATTGAGGCATTCCATCTTAATCTTCATCAGGGGTGACAACGCATCCCAAGTTTTCATTTGTATTTATATGGGTTGAAGCATCTAGTAATAATCAGGTAGACTGTGTGCTCGTTTGTTATTCTAACTTCTATGTGAAAAAGATTGACAATTGACAGAATTAAACAATTTATGAATTTATTAATTAATTCTATGTAATTAAATAATCGTTTTCTGTTGACAAATGCTTTTATGTGATTTTTTAATAAAATATTTTTTTAATTAAAAGTTAATAAAAATTAAATTATTTTTAAATTGTAGGACTAAAAATATCTAAACGAGTAAGGATCGACCCCGGTCTGAAATATTGCAATTTCTTCGAATTTCATGTAACTAGTTTTTGCAGATTTTATTGCGTTAATATCTTTTCTTTTTTATTCCAGTTGTTTTGAGTGCTTTTCAGTCGTCGTGTCATGGGGGGGGGGGGGGGGGGGGGCGAAAACTAGTTTCATTAAAAAAATGTAGTTATGAAATATATTGTTGCAAGCGTGGTACAGCTACGCTGCAGCTACATTATAGTTGTAGCATGAATGGGTCGGCTCAACCGGATTAAGACCACGCTCTCACGGAATACTAGAATATTAAGCTACGCGAATACTTTTTAAGCGAATTGAGCTACGATTTTAGCTTAATTCTACCGTGTTTGGTATGGTGAGTGTAGAGAATCGGAGACAATTTTTACTAGAAACGAGGCATTCCATCTTAGTCCTCATGGGTCACGAAGTATCTGCATATAGTGTTTAATCACATGATAAATGTAGATGTCTACGGGTCACAGCATCCACTTACCATCAGGTGGACTGTGTACTCGTTTGTCACCCATATTTATTAAATGTATATGATATTATATAATACACACATACATATTATATAAAAACAACAATGACGACGTTTACACAGAGGCGCCCCCAGTCCCCGGCGACCCCACTATTCCTGGATACGGTAGCGACCATGGTAACGGCGGAGTAGTGGGTGCCAAGAATCTCCGGTGTAGCTTCGGTTACAAACTTAGACGACTCCATCTGGCAAAACATACAACGCACGCACCCTGAGGACTGACGAGAAGACGAGTTAGAATGAGATATAGACAAGTTGCGCTGAGATATTATAGGTTAATCTGAGGTCCGAAGAAAGGGGGACGACTCGGTAAACCTCGAATCCGACAACTTATACTATCACTGGGAGGGAGTTTGTCTGTTCCAATGAGATATCGTTACGTTAACTACGTTGTAAAGATACGTTGTAGAGTATATCGACGAACGTTGCGTACCTTGTACTCAGAATCACCAAACGGTATTTAATGAAGGCCAGACCGATTTACGCACCAATCTCGGCCTACCATGATGAAATTTTGAGTTTGGTTGAGGAAATGTATGAGGATACCTCCAAAGCCACATATTTCTACAAAACCCATTACACGGTATTAATGGGAGACTTCAACGCAAAACTAGTTACTAGAGAGAACGGTGAGCTGACGGTAGGGAAATTTGGGATAAGCTAACGGAGCCCAAGCGGCCAGCAGCTGGCCGACTTCATGGAAAAAGAGGTAACCCTTATGAGGAACTTCTTCTTCTAGTACCGGCCCACAAATAGTAGAATTGGCCGAGCTCCGACGGTTCGACAAAAATTGACTTCATTATGACGACAACAGTTCAGTGATATTTAAGTGGTCGCGAGAATGAAAGCTGGGAACGATCACTAAATGGTGAGAGGCACACTGAACCTAAACGTTAAGTTGGAGAGTTCACGTCTAATGAATACAACGCTCCGTCGCTCTCATGCTCTAATCTAAAGCCCCAAAAACTTTCAGCTCGATTTACAAAATCGTTTTTAAGTGCCTAGAAGACTGCTGTACAGTGGATGCTATGTATGATAAGCTGTCCATGCGGTCAGAGCTAAGTTCTGTAAGATCCTCGGCAGAAGAACCCAAACACTTTCCGATCACACTCTTAATCTAATGGCTGTTAGACGGGAAATGAAGCTGCAGTCTTCAATAGATTTGACAGCATACAGGCAACTGAATAGACAGATCTCCAAATGCATGCAGCGGGACTTGGGAAGTTGCGTAACTTCAATACAGCACGTATAAGAAGCGACCAAGTGGAACTAGGCTACAAAGTCTTTGCAAGAGATCTGTCTGCCAGAAAGAGACGACTGTCGAAGCTGATGACCGGAACACCTGAGATTTTGAGTGCGATTGATAGGTTCTATGGTATGGTTCTGCTGCTCTACTGTAGCTGTACACGTCACCGTTGTAGCCACACGTAAGTGTGAGTAACGATCAAATAGCAAGTCTTATCCGACACTATTACGATGATATTCCGGATGTCAATCTGGGCGAGATTAGAATGGATCTCTAAGTTCTTAAAGACGGCAAGTCCCCGGGTGAGGATGGAATTATAGCGGAGTGTGTGAAAGCGGGTGGACATCCGGTACTGGCAGTCCTTCAGAAGCTCTTTAATACCATTTTCGTGGTGAGATTACTTAGGAAGCGTGGATCATCAAAGATTACTTAGGAGGCGTGGAGCAGAAGTGTGGTGATCTTGTTTTTCAAGAAAGGCAACAACGCTCTCTTCAAGAACAACAGACCGATTTCCCTTCTAGTCACGTCTACATGCTATTTTCGAAAGTCAGTACGAATCGTCTCGCACCAGACTCGTAGATCACATACATACCCTTTAAAAATTGTACAGAAGACCGAAGAGTCCAATCAGCCACTTTGTCTTGCTTATGTGGACTATGAAAAAGTCTTTGATTCCGTCAAAATTTGGGCGGTGCTGCAGTCCCTTCAGCTATGCCAAGTTGACTGTCGGTATATCGATGTGCTGAAGTTATTATAGTAGGGCTGCAGTGGGTATCTGAGTACAGAGCCAGAGTACGAAACCCATTCAACTTCAGAGAGGTACACCTCTCTGAAGTCTTAAGTCTTACAGACAGGGTGAAGTTATATCCCCGAAACTCTTCACCGCTGCATTGAAAGACGTTTTCAAGCTACTGATCTGAAAAGAATATGGTATTAACATCAATGGCGAGTAAATCACTCACCTTCGATTTGCCGACGATATAGTCCTTATGACAAAATCGATGGAGGATATAAGCATTAGGCTCAATGACCTCAATAGTGCCTCCCAACGGATAGGTCTTAAGATGAACATGGACAAAACAAAGATCATGTGTAACGTCCATGTCACACCTATGTCGGTAGTGGTTGGGAGTACTAAGCTCAAAGTTGTTGACGAGTACCTGGGACAAATAGTCCGACTAGGTAAAATAAAATTTTGATCGAGAGGATCGGGAGAGGGAGAAAAAGAAAAAGAAAGAAAGAAGAAGAAAAGAGGTGAATCAACGGATTCAACTCGGCTGGGCAGCGTTACGACACATTTTCTCGTCTAGTATACCAAACTTGAAAACGAGATTGTACGACCAGTGCGTTTGCCAGTGATGACTTATGGATCTAAGACGTGGTTTTTCACTGCTGGCCATTGCTGGTTGCTCAGCGAGCTATGGAGTCGACTATGCACAGGGTTTCTCAGCGTGATAAATTTAGAAATGAGATTATATGCATAACTAGAGTAACCGACATAGCTCAACGGATTAGTAAACAGAAGTGGCAATGGAATAGACCGGTCATATAGCTCGAAGAACTGATAACCAATGTGGGGAAGCCAGTTTCTCGAGTGGCAACCTCGTAACGGTAAGCAAGGTGTATGGTGACTAGATGGAGTGCAGTCTGATGATGACTTGGGAAAACATGAAGAAAGACCGTGGCACGTTTGTGGCAGTCTTTGGGGGAGTATATATGTATGTTCAGCAGTGGACTTGTGAAGGGCTGTAATGATGATGACGATTGTATAAAAAACTGTCTGTCGTAGGACTGCAAGTCAGAAGTGAAAACTTCCTAGCTTCATAAAGTTTTAACGTTATTTTTGTACATATGTACTGAGCGTGACTTTCACGCAAATTCAGTGATTTTTCCCCGTTCCAAGAGTAACCAACGTGCCCAAAGAAGTGTGCAATTAAAAAATGTATTCGCGTCGATCCTAATTTTATATATATATATATATATATATATATATATATATATATAAAATATAATATACGTATTAAATTTAGCTATTAAAATGGATCATCGAATTTAGGATTGTTGTATCTTTAAGGTTGTGCGCTTGTCTTAAATTTCATATAACGCGAATTATCTTTGTTCGATCCTTACCTACCGGTGATTTCAATATTTATATTATTTAACCATATGTTCACGAGAGTGTTACGAGAAAGTAAACCGGCTTATCTGGGTACGGGTACTTGATACTAGTTCAAAAGAAAAGTCAAAAATAACTCCTGGGTTAACGTCCTGGGCTACAACCATAGATAATATACAAACTTCTCACTTAATATGAGAGTAGGCCTGTGTCATAGTGGGTAGTATGGAGGCTGATTTTTTTGAATAACTAAAAAAATTATTCTACTGCGGTGTTTAAATATAATTTTCATTCCGATTATAATACAACATGGAAATTATTTTACATGGAATTTATTTTTGCATGGAATTTTATAATTTTACGTGGAATAAATTTTATTTTATTTTCTTAAATTTATGTAAACATGTCGTCTCTTTTGTAGGCTGAAAACATCGGTTCCGTGAGGAAGGACGATAAAAGGGAAACGGGAAATTGTTATGAGGCACTTCGTTTAAGCGATTAAGTGTTGATACAAATTTTCTAAGATTGTTATTACTAAAATAGGGACTTCGAAATCTTTGCTGTTTATGTAAGTTATTATTACTATAAAATATGATAAGAAAAAAAAAGAGATTAGAATAAGAAATGTAAAGTAATAACATTTGTTGTGGAAATATGTAGTAGTTATGCTGCGTCAAGACGCATGACATTTCGCTAGTAATATGTAAGTCAACGCTTACATGATATAAATAAAACATAAGCTTTGTAGCATCGCATCGCACATGTGTAAAATTTGATTTGTCTTTTTTCCTAAATGAAAATAACCTTGTTTCTTGTAAACGTAGTAGATTTAAAAAAATCTCTACTTTTATTTGCTAAATTATAATAAAGGCATTTCATTTATTGCTAGCGTTACTTTTTTGTAATATTTTAATTTTAGCATTAGTATCATTCATAACTGAAAGCCTTTACCGATCATAATTTTTTTTGCTGGAACTAACTCTAGTAGCGATTTATGCGACTTGGATCTTCAAACTTGGCGATCCAACTGATTTTATTCATGTGCAGGACCTGTGACCGGATACTAAGGTAATTTGACTCTATATCATTACAATCTCATCATTCATTCAGCATTCATTACAAGCTATTAAAGTTCATTGTTGAACATAAATATGTATAATTTCTCTCCGTCCGTCACTTACGACACCCACGACACTTATCCTAAATGGTATACAGCACCACTTAAAAAAGCTATTAAAGAAAAACATAAATTGTTACGTAAATTTAGGATCTATGGCTGTATGCATGACAATGAAACTTTTAAGCTATTGCGGGAGCGTGTAAGGAAATTAGAAAAGTTAGCATACCAATCTTACATAACCTCTGTGGAAAATTCGATTAGTGCAAATCCGAAACACTTCTGGTCGTATATTAAACAAAAATCAAAATCATATTCAATACCTTGTTGTCTCAAATTTGAAGGTTCTGTAGTGAACTCTGGTGAACTTATCTGTAATGCTTTTTCAAACTATTTTCGTTCAAATTTTTTGGTTTCGGATGATAGTAATACTCAGCTGTCTGAAAATAATTATAATGATTCTCTAGTGTTGCCTCAGTCGAGTGTTAATATCACCTTAATTGATATAAACGAAAATACGGTCAAAAACCTGCTTAAAACGTTGGATCCAACGAAATCTGCTGGTCCCGATAATATTCCAGCTCACTTTCTTATTAACTGTGCGCATACAATTTTGTTTTGTTTGAAAAGTCTCTTAGTACAGGTATTGTTCCTACTATCTGGAAGCGTGTATTTATCACGCCTGTCCATAAAAAGGGTTCCAAGACCGAAGTTACTAATTATCAACCGATTTCCAAGTTATGTATTGTATCTAAAGTGTTTGAACGAATTATATATAATCAATTATACGCGGCCCTAAAATATTCATTCAATCCGAATGAACATGGTTTTTTAAGAGGATACTCTACTGTTTCAAATCTTGCGCTCTTTAATGCATTTTTGACTGAGGCAATGGACAATCGCCACCAGGTAGATGCCGTTTATACCGATTATAGTAAAACCTTTGACAGAATACATCATAATTTGCTATTGCTGAAACTGTCCAAGATCGGTATAAGCGCGATCTGCTTAGGTGGCTTACGTCTTATATAAATAATCGATCACAAGCTGTTGTCGTCAGCAACTACATATCAGAATGGGTAACTGTTTCAAGTGGGTGCCACAGGGCTCACTGCTGGGTCCGTTATTATTTATTATTTTTATTAATGACATTACCTATTACCTGAAGAAAGCTCGCCTATTATGTTTTGCCGATGATATGAAGTTATTTCTGAAAATAACATCAATTGAGGATGCTGAGGCTCTACAAGAAGATCTGTCAAATCTAGAGCGTTATTGCCACCTAAACTTCTTAGATTTGAACCCTTCGAAATTTAGCTTTATGTCCAATAGTCGCAAATATAAACCGATTGTCTTTAATTATAAATTGAAAGGTGAAAATCTTAAAAGGGATTCCATTGTTAGAGATCTCGGTGTTCTTCATGATTTCAAATTGATATTTGATGTTCACTTAGGAAGCATTATAACCAAATCTACGAAAGCTCTAGGATTTTTGATGCGTAGTTCTAGGGACTTCACTAAAGTTAAAACTCTTAAGATCCTATATTGTTCTCTTGTAAGAAGTAATTTGGAGTACGCATCTTAAATCTGGAACCCCAGGTATGCAACATATATTACCCGACTTGAAAATATCCATAGTAAGTTTACGCGGTAACTCTGTTATAGAACCAATGACTATCGCTATACCTCTGATAATTATATTAGTTATTGTAAAAAACATCACCTTCTTCCCCTTGCTATGCGTCGTGAGATAGCTGACCTCACTTTTATTTTAAAAATAGCTTGTAGTGCTATTGATTATCCTGAGCTTTTATCTCAACTACATGTTAGTTGTCCAATAAAACACACAATAAAATTTTAAGTCTCCCGTTTGCATCTACAAATTATAGGTAAAATACATTTATATGGCGAGCGAGCAATAATTTCAATAAGCTAGCCAATGAGTTTGACTTCGATTTGTTTAACACTAGTGCTGCGTCAGCTAGGCGCATACTCAATAATGCATTTTTTGGTAGCTCTAAGTAAGATTTACTTTTGTATTTGTGTTTATTTTTCTGTTAAAATAGCTTTTAGTGTTATTGACTGACCTAAGTATGAGTTGATTGTCTTTTATATGTATAATTCAAGTTTAGCCCTCATCTGGCATAAATATGTTGTATTGGATACTTTCGAGTGTTAAATCGTGTTTATCATTGTTGTAAATTCACCTTTGTATCTATTGGTGAGGATCTTTAATTAGCTTACTGTTGTTATTAGTACTATTTATCCTAATTATGATAGCTGTTGGTCTCCCAAAAATAAAAAAAAAAAAAAAAAAAAAAAAAAAAATCCCAACCCAAGCATACAACTACAACTACTGCGTAGATCGGAACAAAAATGAATTATTTTAATTTGGAGGTAGCCGTGGTTAACTATGACATTGGGATGACAAACATCTCAGTCCCTCCACTTTTGACCACGGGTGCTGTAAAGCATCTGAAACGCCGGGAATTAAAAATAAGTTGATACAACGCAAAAAATTCGTATAAATAGTTTTATTCAATAGTACTCATCCCGATAACTGACGTGTCCGTGTCTGGAGAAGACCTGGACTCAGAAAGGCAAAGAACTGCCACAGAAGCCGTTGAGAAAGGCGTGAAATGATGTCCTTTTGGGGTGGAATTATGATTGGAGCTAGAACACCTTTGATCCTGTATCGAGGCTCCATGACGGCAGATAGGTACAAAACAGTCGCTATTGATGGTATTGTCAGACCATTCCAAGTAAACCATGGGTATCTATTCATATTGGTCGATGCGCCCATACATCGAGCTCAACGACTCAATGCTGTTCTCCGATAATACATTACAAGGTTAAACTGGCCTGCAAGCTTGCCTGACTTAAACCCAATAGAGCACGCGTAGAATGCTGTTAAACAAACTGTTTGGAACAGAGAGCCACCTTCCCAGACTGTGCTAGTTAATTACAAGAATGGGACAGGTTGCCGTAAGAAATGCTGGATAAATTAATCCCCTGCATGCCCAGGGGGATCTTCTCATATGTTCAAGCCAGGGGAGGAGTTATATAGTATTAAAATTTATTGTATAAGTTTGGTTAAACAATGTTTTTCTTTCCATCAAATTTCTGTTACAATTTTTGTTAGTAAAAAAGAGTTATTTTTTCTAATTTTAAGAGTGCATTTCTCTTTAAAAAAGATATAATGTAAACACTTTTTCTTATAAAAGTAAATTTTAAAAATATATCAGTTTTTGCTAGTGATCATAAACTTTTTTGGTGGGATTACTTATAGATACACATAAAAATTTGGCCATGTATTTAAAAATTAATAAGAAACAAATTAAAACGTTATTCAGTAAATTTGTTTTACAAACACGTTGTGTAAGTATCATAAAACTTCAACTTAACTTAAAAATACAGGATAGTCATACCATTTTGAAAGTGATGTCTCGTTTTGATACAAGGGTATTTGTTGGACAAATACTTTTTGTACGGAAGTGAAATTAGTACCAATCAAAACATTACAAAATAACAAAACACTTTAAGACATAGCTATAATTCTGTGGAATTATCTAAAACAACATAAGCATAACATTCATTACAATATCCGAAAAATCTCATATATCAAACTTTGTAGCTTTAAGAAAAATAAAATCGGGACAAAAAAAAAAAAAATGTAAAATTTTTCGCGGTTTTACCCAAATGCGTTGTCAACCCGAGGACTAAGATAGAATGTTCCTTCTATCTTAGTTGATAGAACCTTTAAGAAAAGAGTTTACTCCTTTTTAAAAGGCCGGCAATGCACCTGCAATTCCCCTTGTGTTGCAGTTGTTCATGGGCGGAGGTAGTCACTTACCATCAGGTGAGCATGCTCGTTTCCCCCCTCTTCTATAAACAAGTGTTACCAGTAAAAAGGGTTAAATAACAAACGAAATAATTGGTGTTTATCGGGGTGTGTATTAAATTATTTTATTTAGTCAGATTATTGTTCTTAATTTCCTCATGCATAGTGTATTAAAAATGGTAATTGAATTAGTATAATATTTTAAATATTTTAGCGGTTGATTCTTTACAAAGATTTACATTCTTTAAAGTATTGCATTTTATCTATTACAAAATATTTCGTTTCGAACATTTATACAGTCTGGAAGTAGCCTGTTGATCCCAAATTCTCATGACAATGCGTCTGATAGTTGCAAGTAGCTTTTAACGACAATATGTCGAACATGAATTGTCCTAGCTTATGTTGTTGATATATATATATATATATATATATATATATATATATATATATATTATATAGTCCGTATAAATAGATTTATTAAATGT